CACCCCACCCCCCAAAAAAATAAACAAGCAAAAATAAAAACAAAAAGAGAAAACAAATAAACAAACAAAACACACAAAAAACAAAACTCCAAAACCAAAAGGGGGAGGGAAGTGTTTCTTATATTGTATTTTATTTTTTATTTGTTGCTTGTTTGTTTTTTGTTGTTTGTTTTTGTTTTTTTTAAACAATCTACTTACCCCGTTCATGATGTAACAGGCACAGTCATCTGTTGGACAGACCAGGTCTTCTACGTCACTTCCGTTGTAGGTGGGGCCATCGTTGACCGCCACCGCCCATTGGTCCCGGAGAGAGAGGGCGGGGGCACTGAGCGCTGACGAGCCAATCACAGGGAAGGAGAGCAGGAGGAACACGCCTAATGGGAGGAGCATCGTGCGAGTGATTGACACTCCTGCGGCCATACTGGAAGTAGAGAAAAATAGAATGTTGGTTGTTACAATGGTTGGATTGTTGGGGATAAGGTGGTGGTACTGGATAAAATGAGAGTTCGGGGCGTATGAATGTGTATCATGTGTGTGATAATGTTAGTGTGATAATGTTTGTGTGTGTGTGTGTGTGTGTGTGTGTGTGTGTGTGTGTGTGTGTCCGTTTGTGTGTATGTGTGTATGTATGTGTGTGTGTGCGTGCGTCACATCGAAAAAAAACCCTGAGATTCTCCCCCACACGGGATGCGAACTCAGGTGTTCTGCGTGCAACGGTTAAACCCCTCACCACTGCACCACAAACACTGGTTGTAATATATACTAGATGTAAAACGTGCTACTTTGGGTTGATTTAAAAATACAAACGCCACAACCTCACTTTAAAAAAGTACAATAACAACAACTCAAACAACAAGAATAACAAAGCAACATCAAAAACTGTTTCAGGCGCCTGGTTCAAATAACCAAACGCTGGGGTTATCTCCTCCTCCCCCCCCCCCCCCTCCATTAAAACTACACAAACCAAAATAAACATCGTATTCAAAAACGATTCAGTTATAGGAAACCGCACTTCGTTCGAGAAGTGAGGTTTTGAAACCGATGCTTTATCTATCGTGACTTTTTTCCATAATCAATACCTCAGACAGGCAGTTAGGTCAGGACCGAAAATGACGTGAATACCACTCCAGATTCATCATCATCATGTTTATTTTGTTGTTTTCACGGACGCCGCGGAGGTTATGAGTGAGTGATAGTACTGTTAGAGAATGGTGATAGTTGGCGGG